TGAATCAAAATGGATCGGGGCTGGGGCGCTGTGTCTGTTACGTCTGTGTGTGTGGGAATGGGAATGGGAATGGGACCCACGCTTTGTTGCTAGCTGAGCTTAGCTGAGATGGACTATTATCGAGGCCGCACGCGCCGCTTCCTGTCCACCAATCACTGGACAGTCAAGGGACACATGGCGCTTTATCAGATATCTATCTATCTCGAGTATCCAATGATTGTATTTTTCTTCACTACTTCTGGATGTTGCTCTCTCTTTCTCTCCTGTTCTGGCTGGCTGGCTGGCTGGCGGGTTCGGACTCAACATTATCAAGTAAGTTGATGTAAAAATGACGTAATGGAGACGTAAAATATTGTGTTTGCTTGCTGCTTAAGAAGAGTTAAATTAATTAGTAAGTAAACGATGATCATGGAAAATTCTAGTCCTCGGATTCCAGGAGCTGCTGGGGCCCTCCCTAACCTAATGCATGATGGGTCCCATTTATTATTTCTCTATCATGGCTCAATCCCAGTGTCAACTTTGAACAGATTCATCTCTCTCATCAATCATCATACCGAGTACTGACTGATAAACAACAAGTCGTTGGATCAAAGATCAATCAAAGATCACAAGGCTGTTCAGGCAATATCAAAGGAGTTTTGATAGAGGGTTTAGGTTGGTTTTGTGGGTAAGTAAACCAACCACAGACAAAGTAAAATGACACAAATCACTTTGCCATGGATACGTCCTTTCCATGACATGAAAAAAGCAAAAGCTCTAAAGACGAAGCATAAGTCAGCGGTGTGAGATTCTCTTTCTTTCACTTTTGCTACTCTATGATTATTTTTTATTTAATTATATTTGCAAATAAATGGATGATGATGGTGATGATACGGAACTAAACCAATCCCGCACAGGTTGGTGGGAGTCGCTGTCTCCATCACTGATTCACTAGTGGTGCTTCTGTAACATCCCTACCTACCATGCGCAAGTATTTTTTTTCAAACCACAAAGGTTGGCCTCCTTGGCCATCCCCACCGCATTTGACAAACTATCATAATTTTTATTTATTTTTTAATATCATAAAATATTTGATAACTTGTTACCCGAAGCAGCCCAAGTTTCTTCCGGAGGATTGCTTGAATTTGAACTTTGAAGGCAGGCACCAGGCAGCCCAAATAAACTAAACCTTTTTTCTCTTTTTTCGTTAGACCAAATTAAGTGAACTATATCGTGTGTGTATATATATACTTTTAAAAGACATTTGATTTGAAAAGGTGGAGATGATTGCAAACCTCTGCAATATAATGATTTGGCTTGAAAGTTTGAAGCATGGCAGTGGCACATAGCAATGGATGACCAAAAAGTTTGAAGGCATTACTGATTTATTATATTCTTCCATCATTATAAATCTCGCTGTATATATAATTAAAGATTGAAGTTGATGTTTTTGTGGTGAATGGCGAATGGTGATAGATTTTAAAAGAAAACAGTGTTTTATTGCTCAATCATATCCATCAGCTGAAATTCGGCCCATTTGTCTGCTTCGAAGTTCCATCATCCATGCATGCACAGGCTTCCATGTAAATGAAATTATCAAATGACCCACTCACTCTACTTCTTCCCGACTGCACTGCATCTTCCCAACCCTAAACAAACAATTATAAGGTAATAAATCTAAAAAGCTGCCCATTCAAAACTTTTGTCTTGAGCTTGACTCTTGTTGAGGATGATGTGGAGCTTATTTAGTGGAAAATTGCAACACCCTCCACCCTCCACCCACCAACTTCGTATGCCGCAAACAAGCCACGTTCACACACACATACACAGAGAGACAAATAAACCCCATCCAATTCCACTTTTCTTTTCTTTTCTCTTCTCTTCTTTTTTCCTTCTCTCCTCCATATGAGAATAATATGAAAATTCCAAGAGCCTTGGAAACCGAGTTAGTGGAGTTATTTGCATTTCCCACAAACATGCCCTTAACCAGCTTGGACCAAGAATTTCAACTTCACTTTTACTAAATATATATATATATCAAAAAATAAAAAAATAAAATGGGGCACTCATGTTCAACCAAAAGCTACAATCTCGTCTTTATATATGACCCATCATGTCCCCTCAGCTCTATACTCATCATACTCTTTCTAGTCCTCCTTTCTTGCTACCTACCCAGCACTTACCATTTTTTCACCTCAATTATAGCTCTATCATTGATCATTTTTCTAAGCAACATCGACGACCATGACCGCCAGCCACCGGTGGAGCTCTGTCTACTTGGGTGGTGGTGGTTGGCGGACACAGCAGTGCGGCGTACAAGGGCTCTGTTGTAAATACGGGTGAAAAGTGATGGCAAAGCAACACACCAAACAAGGCTTTGCAATTGCGCTCTCCTGAATTTCTAGCCCACACCACAAGGAGCAGAGTCGGGAGAGCGGCATTATTGCATTGCGGGGAATTGAGGGTAGCGGTCCGAATTTACCTTAACAACAACATAGGTCTTTTAATATTTTTCTTTATTACTTAACCTTGGTCTTTGCTCTTAGTTCGTTGTCCTTTCGTTTTTGTTTTTGTCTCCGTTTTTGCATGTTTAATATGTTATGGAACATGGGATGTAAGGGATGCATACGAGGTAGCTAGTTTGTTTAGTTTGGTTTTTAGTTTGTTTGTAATGCTGCTGGGCATGCATCACTTACACCTATCATGTATTTATTTGCTTTGTCATGAATTAATGGAAGAAAGAAAAGAATGACTTTAGTTTCCTTCCTTCCTCTTTAATTTTCTTTTTCCTTTTTGGGTTTTGGTGTGTCTTGGCTCTTCTAACTAGCTAGATGCTGATTCAAAGTCAGAATCTGATTTTTGTGAAAGCTTGGCAGCATGGATTTTCCATGCCTTTCTTTTTCTTTACTTTGGTACTTTATCTTATCTGATTTCAATCTTTAATTACTTAAAGGAAGCATGAAGTTCATGTTTTGGCCAAAAAATTATGCTAGTTGTTATGCAAAAGGGTTGTAAGGCTGTTCATCAAATGATAATCCATCTAGGGCTACAAGAATTGATAGACAGAAGCGAATTTTTGTCTCTTCCAAAAACAGAAAAAAGTATCTTATACATAATTGGCAAAGAATCAACCATTGTTCCCGACCTTCATTCAAATCCTGTATTCATATAATATATAATATTAACAAACGCCAGTGACTCATGATGATCAGTACAACAACGTGAGTTGTATAGAAATAATACAAATATATATTATGATTTACGGTAAATTTATCTTGTTCCCAGATATAATTTATAGTATATAAACGTTCTCATCGCATTTTTTTCATCTCATCGCATTAAGGTGTGAAAGTACAAGGGAGGTTAGAATGATAACAAGAGGATTCTTAATAACAGTTCCATCCAATGCAGAGTTGTTGGACTGGATTGAATCCCTTCAGTGTAATTTGTGACCCTTAAAAGCTCCCGTGAATACAACCAAGGGCCTGTAGCTTCTCTTTTTTCCCCTTTTGGTTGAACTTGAAATAGGGGCAGGAAGCCAAAACAAGCAATGCAGACACTTAGCCCATCGGGCTAAAACAAACAATCTAGGCCCAACAATTGTCATAATGTACATGAAGAGGGTCAGGTATCACTAATATTTGTTGAAATGCCAAAAATCACTTTTGGTCTCTGTAGTTTGACATTTTAACCACTTTTGACTATGTAGTTTTAGGGGGGTGTATTCAATTAGGATTTTAAAAAACTATTTTGGGATAAATAAGTCTTGTGGTATTCAATTAAGACTTTTAAATAATCTAAACAAGTCTTGTGGTATTCAATAAGGACTTTTAGGATTTTTTAAAGAGGGTGTCCAAATCTAGTGGTATTCAATCAAGACTATTAAACAAGTAACAAAAAGTCTTTTGGTATTCAAAAACTTGCTAATTTCGAAGGATTTTTTTAAAGAAGGAATTTGTGTGACTTTTTAGTGGGAGGTATAAATATCAAACCCTAAAAAAAATCTCACCATAACCCGTCAGACTTTTCACGTGAGAATTTTTTCTCTCTGCGAGAGAAGATGAACATTTCTTCGTGAAATCGCAAGAGAAGTTAAACGGAGAAATCTATTCTCATACCAGCTCAAGGTAGATGTATCCATGAACGTTGTCCAGAACATGCTTCATCGATCTCCAATCCCGATAGCTCCCATTGTTCACAGTAGCTCTCATTGTTGGCTCACAATTGAACTTGGAACGCTGACAGATTGATAGAGATAAAGGGGTTTAGCAAATATTAATCGATTTCACCGATTACTATGTCAGAGGAAAGGCATAGTAATTTTGCACTACTCTAGCCGGTTGGAAAGACTATGCACCAACCACATTTTGACCCCGGTTCTAGCTGAAGATATATGTATCAGATAATGGTTTGTGTTTGCTTGGTTCAAGTCTATACATAAACCCTAACCCTAAACATTCAGAGACTACGTGAGCCCTTGTTTGGGCAGTACATAAACACAATTGGTAACAAATAAATAATTGCTTGATGTCTCGATAAACAAGAAATTCCGCGTCAATGAGCTCAAGAATCAAAGTCATATTGTTAATTTTGTTGTTGTAATTGGGCTAACAATATTTGAAAAAGTCTCATTGCCTGCAAGTAGGGGAGATTTCCAACATCCGATTCCTCAACTAGTCTACTACCAACAACCGATTTTATCTCCACCCTGAGCTTGTTGAATATGTCGGGATGGTTGATGAGCTCAATTACTGCCCATTGCATAGCCTCTGCTGTGGTAGTAGTACCTCCGATGAAAGATCCTAACATAATGGTAAATTATGAATTGATCAGAAACAAGATGTGGTTTGAAAATGGAAAGGATTGAAATCGCTTACAAGCAAGAAAGCCTTCACATGAGTTCTGGAAATCTTGACCTCGGCTTTATCATCTTGATAGGCCTTTAATAGTATATCCATCAAATCTTTATCTTCTCTATCCCAACCCTCTCTCTCTGCTCTCTCTTCATGCTGCTTCACCCTCTAGAAGTTTATCATACCCATGGTCACATCCATGAGCTGCTTCCCATCAACCCAGAAACCCAACCTCTTCAGTGGGCCCAACACATCCCCAAAACAAACCTTTGCAGCCAACTCAAATGATTCTTTTACCAACTCCCTGATTTTTTCAGCTTCCTCACCATTCTCTGAACAACTAGTGCTCATAGCCATCCTGCTATTAAACAGGCACTTGTTAAAAATAGAAATATGGGAGAAAATTTCAAGGATCATATCAAATTAATTGTAGAGCATGCCTGCATATACTGTTGTTTGTAAGACTCATCAGCTCAGCACCCACATCAACCATCTCTTTCCTCGTAGCACTCTCCAACATTTTCCTCAAAAACTCTGCAACCTCTGCATGTCGAATGGCACGTGACCTTTCTATTTTGCAAGAGGAACATCACTCACATGTATGTAACCCTTGTATAGTTACATATTAAATTAATAAGAAAGCTGAATTTTCAGCTTAAATCCAATTTGGATGCATAACCATTTTAGTCAAGCCTTCCAATGTTGGCGGAGATTGGTGTCAATTTTATAACCCATTTCATAAGCCTTCCTGTTTTCATTGACTCTTGTAACTTTGAATGTTTGCTTTTATTTATTGTTCCATTCCATTTGATCTCGTTTATGTTATTGCTGATGCAAGTGCCCACAACTAAGTTGGTTGGTTATCGTACAAATAAAAAATCCATGTGGTCCTTTCAAATCTTATAAATTCTTATGATATAAATCTTTAAAATCCAAACATAAAAAATCCTGAATATAAAAAATCTTTCAAAAAAATCTTATAAGTCATTATATTCTTAAATAGTCTTTTAAAATTCACTGGACTTATTTATCCATAAATAGTCTTTTAAAATCTCAATTGAATACACCCCCAATTTCGTCAATTTTGCCATTGTAGTTACGTATTTGTAGCAATTCAAGGACATGTTAATATTCTTGTCAATTTCTTTAACGATGCAAATGGCAATTTCGTTAACCCAAAAACCTTGAGCATAAAAGCCTGTATGAAATTCTCCCCATTTCATATTGGGACTCGAAATTCAACTACTAATCCCAATTTTTTGAAGAACTCTAAACCTAAATGACCAATTTCCTAATATGAAATTAGAGGAGTTTCAGACGAGCTTTTATACTCAAGGATTTTGGGTTGACGAGATTGCCCCTTGCATCGTCAAAGAAATTGATAGAAATACTAACTTGTCCATGAATTACTAAAATACGAAACTACATGGTCAAATGTGGTTGAAGTGCCAAATTACAGGGATCAAAAGTAACTTTTAACCTTGTTGAAAACATCATCACTATTACTAATGGCTGACATTTCACCTGCTATATGATCAAACTTTCTTTTATTTATATTTGTGCTAGCTAGCTTGCTAGCTTCTCTCCATTGATTCAGAAATCAACAATTGAGAAGGATTATCCTCTTTTATAGGCATGTCTTCTGGAGAGGATAAGAAAGGATTATGAGGCATTTTCAGGTTGCCAATGCTTCCCTTCCAACATCTCTACAACTTTAGTCATCGAGAGACGATCTGATGCCACGACTTGAATGCATCATAACCCTACTAAGTACACATAACTTTCTTTCAGTCTCAGTCATGTCATCAATTTTCAAGTCTTCTCCCTTAGTTATATGGTCATAAATCTACAACGGAAGGTTCCCTCCAGTTGAGCTGCTTGCCTTTGCGTTGAAATCCATACTTCCTCCTGACATTCCCAACATCAACATCCCAAAGCTATAAACATCTGATTTGTTAGAAACAGCTCCAACATTTCTAGAATTCAGTTCAGGAGCCATGTACCCTGTGCTAAAATATGAGAATTATGAGAGAATATTTGTTTGTGGGAATTTTCTGTGTATTCTTCTCTTTGTAGGAGTCATATTTATAATACAACGAAACCTGAATGGGCAAGTAAATAATAAATTTATATTTATATTTACAGTAGGAAATCAGGAATTAAAGTAAATCAAATATAATTATAATAAGAATCCTTGGTGTTTAAGGAAAAAAAGTCAATGGTCCACAAGTCACACCAACACTCCCCATCACGTTGGTGCATAGATGTTGTCAATGCTCAACTGGTCCAGTGAATTGTGGAACGTTTTACTAGAAATTACTTTTGTCAACATATCTGCCAATTGATCCTTCGAACTTTACAAAAGGAAATTGAATCACTTCAGTTTCAAGCTTCTGTTTGATATAGTGTCGATCTACCTCAACATGTTTGGTGCGATCATGTTGAACTGGATTTTGTTCAATAGCTATTGCAACATTGTTGTCACAAAAGAGATTCATTACAGATGTAGGTCTATACCCAAGTTCAGCAAGCAACCTCTTTAACCAAATGAGTTCACAAATTCCTTTGGTCATACCTTTGAACTCAACTTCTGCACTGGATAAGGCGACCACCTTATGTTTCTTGCTTCTCCATGTAACCAATATTTAGATGACCATGTTTTGAGAACATAAATCATTTTCTGGGTGCAGACTTCAAATATCTAAGTACCTGAATAACTACATTTATGTGGTCTTCACTCGGAGAATGCATAAATTGATGGACGACGCTCATCGCATAAGCAATGTTTGGCCTAGTATGAGACAAGTAGATTAATCTTTCCACTAACATTTGGTATCTTTCTTTGTTAGTTGGAACTTGATCTAGGTATTCTCCAAGATGATGATTCTGAAAAATATGAGTGTTTACAGGTTTGCAATCTAGCATTCCTGTGTCTGTCAATAAGTCCAAGACATATTTCCTTTTAGAGAGAAATATGTCTCGTTGTGATGCCGCCTCAATCCCCAAGAAATATTTGAGTCCACCTAGATTCTTCATCTCAAATTAAGTAGCCAAATAGTCTTATAGTTGAGATATTTCATGTTTATCATTTCCGGTAATAATCATGTCGTCAACATAGATTATTAAAGCTGTTTCCTTCCATTTTTAATGTTTCAAGAACAAAGTATGATCTGAGTTACTCTGTCGGAAACCATTGTTCTTCATTGCCATGGTGAACCGTCCAAACCATGCACGTGGTGACTGTTTTAGTCCATACAACTTCTTTGGTAATTTGCATACTGTTCCAGTCTAAGTAGTATTATAGTCAGGAGGAATGTCCATATATACCTCATTCGCAAGTTCTCCATATAGGAGGCATTATTTACATCAAATTGGTGTAGTGGCCAATCCAAATTAGCTGCGATGGACAATAAGACTTTAATTGTGTTCAATTTGCAACTGGGGCAAAGGTTTCTTCATAATCTACGCCATAAGTCTGTGTGTCCCCTTTCGTCACAAGTCTTGCCTTGTATCGCTCAATAGATCCATCATCGTTGTGTTTTATGGTAAACATCCATCTACTTTCGACAGTCCTTTTTCCTCGTAGTAAAGTTTTCAGTGTTCAAGTATGATTCTTCTCAAGAGATTTCATCTCTTCCTTTATAGCTTGAACCCACTTCGGATCTTTAAATGCTTCAGCAACCTTGGTTGGGATATGAATAGCAGACAACTGATGCATAAAGGCCTTAAGTGGTTCAGATAGTTTCTCAGTGGATACATGATTCGCAATTGGATACTTTTAAGTCTTGCTAATATAAGGTGAATAGCAATTTGGTGGTTTTCCAAGATTCTGCCTGAAAGGGTAATTGGTATCCAATATATTTATCATCTAAATTCACAAGTGTAGTAGGAGTAGTTACCTCAAGGATATTCTTAGGAGATTGGTTTGTTGTTACTGTTGAGTTAGATGGAGGGTCTTTATCTTGTTGTTCTGTATTGTTTGTAGGTATGAGACTCGGATCAGAAATATCTTCATAGGGATCAGGTGGGTTAGGTGATTGATCGCTATGAATGAGTGATTGATCTCTTTTTGATAGAGAGAAATCTCATGCTCCATGCTCGATGCGATAAATCATTTCTATACAAAGGAGAATTTCTTCGTTTTCCAAGTTGCTCCAATTCTGCTATTCACTTTGTATCTCCCATTGAAGCATAGAACTGGATGATGAGCCATGGAAGAACAGCTCAGATTCCAAAAAGGTCACATCCAAAGTGACATAGGTACGTCGGGTATGAGAGTGATAGCAGCAGTAGACTTTCTGATGAGCATAATCCATAAAAACACAACGAAGCACATAGGAATCAAGTTTGCTACGTTGATTTTTGTGGAGATGAACGAAAGCCACACATGCAAAGATTCGATGTGTGACTACCAAAACAGATGGCAGATGTTTGTGTTGCGCAAGCACTTGTAAGGGAATTTTAAAGGTTAATACACCAGAAGGCATGCGGTTGATCAGGTGAACTGCAGTGACAATAGCATCATCCCAGTGATGGCGAAGAACATGAGTGCCAATTCGAAGTGCTCAGACGGTTTCAAGAAGATATCGATTCTTTCGTTCAGCAACACCATTTTGTTGTAGCGTCTGAGGACAAATCATCTCATGAATAATTCCTTGTTGTTGGAAAGTCATGATTGACAAATTCACCACCATTGTCTAAGCGGAGAATCTGGATTTGAGCATTAAATTGAGTTTTCATCTGTCTGTGGAAGGATTGAAAATGGAAAAACACTTCGTTTTTATTCTTTAGCAAATAAAGTCATGTCATCTGTGTACAATCATCTATAAATAGGACAAACTACCGAACACCAAAAGGAGCCGTGATAGGTGAAGGTCCCCAGACATCAGAGTGAATTAAAGTAAACGGAGTAGTACACTTGTTTGTACTCAACGGATAGGGCACATGGTAACTCTTGGCCAAAATACAAGTATCACATGTGAAGTTGGAGTCTTTGAAACAGGAGAATAAATCAGGTATAAGATGCTTCATATAACTGAAAGACATATGTCCCAATCGACGGTGCCATAACCAGATTTGCTTTTGATTGCTGTCAAAGGGATGGATGCGTCATACTATTAGCCATGTGTAAGGGTCTTTTTGTTCCAACAGCTTAACGAATGGGTTTGGGCTGCTGTAAGAGGAAGACAAACAAAATTCTCCCAGTGTCTGAGTTCAAGAACTAGGCTCCCCAAAAGAGTTTTGAAAAGTTTGCTGAAACTTTAGAAAACACTTTTAGGTTCTTTTTACCAATAACCAGATGAGCATAATAAATTGATAAGTGACTTGGCTTAAGGAGCTTGTGGCATGGGAGCTAAGTTTTCACAAGTTTAGCAATTTGAGAGAGAGAGAGAGAGAGAGAGAAAGAGAGAGAGAGAGAGAAAGAGAGGAATGAACTTCCTACAGAGAGAAAAGGTTCAAAATGGGGAAGAGGCAAATTAGAAAGATTTCTATATCAGGAAATGAGAAAACAATGGAAGTAGAAGATGGGGTGTCTTGAGTAAATTTTCAGTCGCTTGACAAAGCTTGGTCACGCTCTGGATGATGTGTTTTGTTGGGTAGAGGAAGCTCCATTTTATAGGCACTTAGAACCTTAATTTTATCGATATTCCATTCTCACTTTTCTTCACCACTTTCCATTCAATCATATTTAGTGAAATTTCCCTAACCAGGGTGCATGGGTAATGAGCCCTTTAAGGTTCCAAGAGTTTTATGCAGCTGGACCTCTCCATAGGGTTGAGGCGTCACCCACTTTCTTCCTTGGTTTTCCTATTGGAGTTAGCAGAGGAAATAGAGAATGGACAGAGCATTTGCCCAACAAGTATTCCTCTTACACGTAAGAATTTCTTTTGGTTTTTACAATGGCTTCTCGTTGACTCTGTCATGCAGCTTTAGGCAGGAGCTGAACACGATGCTAGATATTTTATATGGCGTTGGGCTGGGCTTTTCCAAAGGTATTGGGTCATTGGTACTTTATTTCCAGCGGCCTGTGAATTTGTTTTCATCAGGTTGCTGGAAGTAGTTCACCTGCTTTGTTTTTTACGAAGGGTTTGAATGCTTTAAATAACATGGGGATTTCTAAGTAGACCATTAGATATTCTTCTAAGGCATTGGATCATTTTCTCTCTCTCTCTCTCTCTCTCTCTCTCTCTCTCTCTCTCTCTCTCTCTCTCTCTCTCTCTCATGCTAGCCTATGTGCTTGGGCTCAAGAAGACTTGAGTTTTAGTGCTCTCAAGTGGCCCGAAACTTCCATTCCTTGATCCTTCAATGGGCCTTGTGAGTGCTTATACCCATCCATACCACAACCTTCTCAGCAAGCTCCGGATATTTACGTGGTTTGGGCCCACTTAAGCCTGTAATATGGCTTAGCATTAGAATAACGGTCCTTTTGCTTGGCATCGCGTGTTTATTTAGCATGCTTGTACTTGAATTCTATTATACCGTAATAAGTCATGACCGGACCTAGTAGCACTTGATAGGTCAGTAAGCGTGAATATATAGAGCCGGTGTGTTTTGACCCTTCTTGACACGTTTAGCGTGTGTGTTTGCTTCGCGTGGCATGTGGTCCATAACTCGTGCAGGTGCACCCACAAGTTTTCGTATATCCCAATTGAGCTCATTTTGTGGTTTAAATATTTGTGCTGGGCTAGGAATAAGTCTGGGCCCAGCCCTTGAATTTTTGGGTATCAACACCATGCCAGGACTGAAGTCATCTACATAATATAGCCCTCCTCTCTTAGTACCACGACCAATAATTTCCTGAGTGTGAATATCTTGAAGCAAACAAAAACTTAAGTAAATGAATACACAACAATTCAATTGTTCAGTAAGCTGACTAACTAAAGATGAAACACGTAAAGTATTAGATAGTGAGAGAGAGGATGAGAGTGCAACAGTGTCAGCCCCTGTCACAGGATAAGTAACTCCATTGGCATTAACAATAAAAGTTCGTCGAGGTTGTGCAGTATTTAGAAAATCATCAGGATCAAACGTCATATGATCAGTTACATCGGAATCAATTATCCAGCTCCTAGAATCAATCTTATCGGAAGTATGGAATCCATAACTAATATCATTGCTGGTTGTATCGCGTTGTGTGCGATCTTTAAGAGTAGCCCACCAGTCGGGGTAGCCATGCAATTTACAACAAGTCTCATGAGTGTGTCTCGAATCACCACAATATGCGCAATCTCGTCCATATGTCTGGGTCGTTAGTCGGGAAGTCACAATCTGTGCAGCGGAAAATGCATAGGATACAAGTTTATGAGGAATTCGGATCGGGGTTTGAGCTTGAGTCGGGGCCGGAGTCGAAGTCGAAGTCGGGATCTGGGTCTAAATCAGAGACAAATTCGGGGTTGGGTTCGTCGTTGGAGTCGGGTCGAGGTCGTCGTAGTCATCGTCGGGGTTGTTGTCGTCGTAGTGAGGGCCCGGGTCATCAAAATAGGATCTTGATTCAAGATCGGGTTCGGGGTCATCAAAATAGGATTCTAATTCAGGATCGGATTCGGGATCAAAGTCTGCATATGTAGAAGCTGAGCCACATGGGCACTCAACTCGAGTATGGTTGGTTGAGAAGGAGAGGAGGAGTCGGTGGTGCTACCTCCATGAGGGTTGAAAAATCATCAACCCCCATAGCGGCGACGGCGGGGGTTGGAAACTAGAGTTAGCAATTCCAAGATTGTCACTTTGATGCCATGCTAAAATATGAGAACTATGAGAGAATATTTGTTTGTGGGAATTTTTTGTGTATTCTTCTCCTTCTAGGAGGTCATATTTATAATACAACGAAACCTAAATAGGCAAGTAAATAATAAATTTCTATTTCTATTTACAGTGGGAAATTAGGAATTAAAGTAAATCAAATATAATTATAATATGAATCTTTGGTGTGTAAGGACAGAAAGGCAATGGTCCACAAGTCACGCCAACACCCTGCTGTTCCTAAAGTACTAACAAAAACAAAATCACAGTCCTCCTGGTAAAATTTTGCAAGGCCAGCATTTGATATTTTGGGGACGAAATTGTGGTCTAGCAGGACATTTTGAGGCTTCATCTCTAAATGAAGAATGCACACATCACTTCCCTTGTGTAGATACTCGATTCCTCGAGCAATTCCCAGAGCAAACTCGTGCAGCTTTTCCCAAAATGATTGAAATCTTCTTTCTTTTGAGGACAAATGTTTAGCAAGAGACCCATTAGGCATGTACTCATACACTAGAGCCTGCTTAGAGCCTTCAGAACAGAATCCCACCAACTGAAGAACATTGGCGTGACGAGTTCTACCAATTTTTCGAACTTCTTTGATAAATTCTGTGCCTCTGAACCTAGAGTTCTCCAGCATTTTGACAGCAATTAGGCAACCATCTGGAAGCTGCCCTTTATATACTGACCCAACCCAAGCCCACCCTGCCGGCCTAGTTTCTCTTCAAAGTTGTTTGTCATTGCAACTACATCAGTGTAAGAGTACCTTTTGGGCATCAAGGATTGCTCATTGTGCAGCACAACTATCTCCTATTATCTACTATCTTTCGTGTTGTACAATATTTCTGGATGAGGAACACAAATATAGCCAAAGAAGCACAGATATGTCTAATAATAAGAATTAGGGCTGCACGAGCAATAGAAAATCATTATTTTTAAGTTTATTTAAAGTTCAAGGGAACCAGTCAATGAAATAAAAGTTGTACCTAATGGAATGTTCCAGAATAAGTCGAAGCTCACATACGAACCATACATAATACTCCCTGAACATTTAAGCGTCATATGCAAATGAGGAAACTAAAGAGAAAAAACAGAATCAGTCCGGTCAAAAGTTAAGCACACTAACCTGGATTATTTACTCTACATGAAGCATCATATGTAGGGCAATACGGGAGCTCAGCCAACCATCCAAGATTGAACCCTGCCTGCAACACTTTCATGACATCTTCATAAGAAGGGAACTTGACATCTACAGAATCTGCAGGAGCAATTGAAATGAGAGAAGAGGATTTTTCTTGCTCAAGATGAGCCAATAAGTGGCCTTCTCCGTTAATAGCTTAAACATGAGTGCCATTTCTTCTGAAACAAGGAAATTCTCTAAAAGCTAGGTTGCTTATATTTGTGGAGCTGTTTGCAAAACTGATATATGAGAGATGCCCTAGTGGCCTATAAGGAAAATCTTCGGTTAACTCATCCACTGAATCTATAGATCCAGATGGAAGGCTGCAGCTTCCATTGGCAAAGTTTGTATCAATGAGATGGATTGAAAGTTCATTATAGGAAATGTTCTTGACGTAGTATGTTCCTGGATCGTATTCCAAGATGGTTTTGTTGTTCACACAAGAAAGTTCATAGGCCGGATAGCCGCAGCCTACTGGATCACCCTTTAGGCGAAAAGAGAAGCTGTGTTTTGGATATCTCCACATGAAGAAGGACAAACTTGCTCAAGAATTCTGGCTTCAACTTCATTGATGGATTGATAGATCACCACAGTAGAGAATAACTGAAGCAATAAATAGTTCTTTCCTTGTCATGTTTTGCTGCAGAAGAATACCTAGTACCAAGTTAGATTAGAAGAGTCAGTAAATACAAGAAAGCCTCTTGAATGGTATTAAATTTGCCCTTTCACTAACGAGTAGCAACAATAACAAAATTATTTTATTTTATTTTTCAATTTTCGTATTTAACTATTTAGGGGTTAACCTTAGAATACGTTATAAAGATCTTTTCTAGTTAAGAAGAATGCTTGATTGCACCTTCAGGGAGCCTTCAGCATATTCTATTGAGCAACTTTTGAAGAAAACCAAAGGACAAGGTGATGAAGCCTCAAGGAATGCTGATCAAAGAACGAAATAACCAATATGAAATCTCAAAACAGGACGTTTACAATATAGTTTTCAGTGACACTGGGAAACAGACTTTTTGATGATTCACATTATTATTGCATTATACATAAATAAAAAAATAAAAAACAAAAAACAAACAAATATAAATAAATCAAATTTTGATCTACAGAATTCTTTTTGGTGTCACATCATGGAGCATTACACATATAAGCTGTAGAGAGTGAAGAATAGAAGCCAAGTTCAAGAATTGCTGATTATTGGCGTCAATTCTTCTCCGTGCTGCTCGATGCATTTCGTCTTGTGCGATACTTGCGAACAAAGAACACCAATATACCAATTATAACCAGTAGAGCAATTAGACCTGAAAATGCAGAGAAAGATTTCTATCAGTCACAACTTCCAGTGAAACCAAAAATCGCACGAAACTAAAACAAGATAGTCAATGTGTATACACAAATATAATACCTCCCACAACGATTCCCGCGATTATTAAGTTTCCTTGACTTCTTGTGAGTTCTTTGTTCTCTGAACTTGCAGAAAAACAGTATCAAACATTAAAACAAATGTTATTAAAAAATGATAATCAGAGGACATAAGTTTTGATCATAAAGTTGGGCATGCATACTGACCTCTTTCACATATATAGGTGAGTGGCTTATCCCATGATTTTACTACGCAGGATTTACCAGCCAAAGAGCAATCCCTGCACTCAAGCGACCATCCAACAAAAAATCCTGCCTCCAAAAGTTCCATGACGGCTTCATAAGAAGGGAACTTATAATTAATGTCGTGAAGAAGATCTACAGGAGCCAATGAAACAACCGAACATGATGGCTGAGGATTATAGTATGAGTATTCGCCGTCATAAACTGCATAGACGTAACTCCCATTTCTTGTCAAACATGGAACTGTCGTATGATTAGCAGCTTCCTGCAGGCTGCTGATGTTTCTGGAGCACTTGACAAACCGAAAACGACTGCCAAGGCTGTCCACAACTCCCTTGAATCGAAAGTCTGTGACAAACCCATCCGTATTTTCAACAGAGCCAGATGGAAGGCTGCAGCTTCTATTGGCATTGGCAAAGTTGACATCAACCAAACGGAGTACTTGATCCTCATATGAAATGTTCTTCACATAGTATTTCCCTGGAAATATTTCTAAGATGGTTTTGTTGTTCACGCAAGAGAGTTCATAATCGGGGTCACCGCAGCCTGATGGATCACCCCTTAGGCGAAAAGGGTAGCTGATGTTGTTTATTTCTCCGCAAGAAGAAGAGGAACAGACTTGTTTGTAATTTCTTGCTTCAACTTTGATGAAAGTTAGAAAAATCAGAAGAGAGTAGAGAATAGTTGATGCAGTTTTTGATTCTTCCGTCCTCATGGTATTTGCAACAAATTTGCAGAATAACTGTGAACTTGAACTTGAGATATTATCTTCAAGAATGTGTTAATCCTGTTCCATTTTTTATCCAAAGTTTGGAGCACGATGCTTTTATAAGGAAATCTGATATCTGTATTGGTGGTTCCCGTTAGTCAAAGGATACAAGTAGGTCAAAATTTTCTGCTCCGTGTTGGAGTTTTGTGACTCCGTCTTTCTTCACAAGTTGATTATGGATCAACTTTGAAGTTTTTATACAAAGCGACTGGTTTTGTTAAAGATATGATTCAAGAAAGTCAAAGTCGATGTCTCTGATGAAATGTTTTTATTTATTTAGTTAAATTTTTAGAAAGGAAAAATGTCCACATCTATCTTCAATAGCACTTTATGATACGCAACTACCCTTTTGAGTATTACAGAATTCAAAGGTCAAAGTCAAAGTCAAAGTCAATTATCCCTTATTCTTTTGTTTTGTCAACCAACAAGAAGCAGCAATGAGTTTGAAAAATCAAACGGTAGGAGTTTCTATGTATAAGAAATATTTTTGCTCGTCACTTAATTCAAGATATATGTATTTATGGAACTATGGTTATGTTCATAGACATGTGTCAAGTGGTAAGAGTATACTTTAGGTTAAAGTGATAAGCAAAAATGCCCTCACTAGTCTAGGAAAGGAAAAGGGAATGAAAATAATAGAGCACTCAACAACGCATAATTTTGGGATGCATGATCGTATTTGAATACATACTTTATAATTAAACTTCACATTATAATTGAATTACAATTTACACATCAAGAAATGAAAAAATATAATATATATATATATATATATTTGTTGCTATTTAAAAGTTTAGGAGAAGGGGAGGCTATCCCATCCTAGGGCCAGAGTATACTAAGGCCTTTTTGAGAACTTACAAAGGGGGTCTTAACCCTTTTTTTGGAAGATCCCTCAAATCTCCTTGTGGGCTCACTTTATTTCAAAATTTTGAACCATCCATCTTTTAGATATTCCTTCAAATATCATCTCAGCAAAAAAATCACTTAAATCCAAAATCATTTTACCATTGAATTAATAGTTGTAATTTTAGTGTTTTTTTTTGAAGTACTGTGTTTATTAATTTTATTAGGCACAATTAGATATCTTAACAATTTCTGATTTGTCTAATTTTTTGCAAAGATGATCTATGAATGAAGACTTAAAAAATAGACGATTTGGATCGTTGAAAAAAAAAATCGTAATAACCCCCAAATGGTGTCCCTCAATAGAAGTGAACTGTTATTTGAAGGGTAGGTAAACTGTATTTATATGCCGGTAATTCATCAAATGAAAGCAAAACAAAGGAAAATAAACTTTGATTAATTCATTTGTGCCTTGGCAGCCAAATGTGAGGTTATAGCGTTCTGGAAATATACATAAGGCTAAGGGGCCATAGCCCATGTAAAGAGCTGTAGACTGCTAATAGGCCCAGTTAGCCTCCATATCTAGAACACGCTCAACAAAAGAAAAGAACATTTCAATTACATTTTTTTGTCACACACACACACACCATGTTATTGTTAGTTCAAGAATTTCTGATTGTTGGCGTCGAGGTTTTCTGATTCTACAGATTCTAGTTTGCTGCATTTCGCCTTCTACGACACTTGCGGATAACCACCACCAATATGACAATTATAACGATTTGAGCTGAAAAAATGCAGACACACACATTTTTCTATCAGTTGCAACTTTCCATGGAGTCAAAAAATTTAGGAAAATGAACAAGTTTAATACCTCCCAGAGCCATTCCCGCATATATTAATATAAACTGAGATGCTGTGAGTTCTTTGTACTCTGCATTTTCATTAAAAAAGAAAAGAAAGAAACATATATTAATATAATCAAGTGATCATAAAGTCAAGCGTATAATTGTGTATGTATATATATATATAGTTGCAGACCTTGTTCACATACATATGTGAGTGGCTCATCCCATGAACTATGGGAGGCTGAAGCTTCCATGGGCAAAGTTGACATCAACCAAACGGATAATTTGATCGTCATATGAAATGTTGCGCACGTAGAATTTGCCATGGGAAAATTTCTAAGATGGTTTTGCTGTTCACGCAAGAGAGTTCAAAATCAGGGTCACCGCAGCCTGACGGATCACCCTTTATGCGAAAAGGGTAGCTGATGTCTTTTATATCTCCGCACGAACTAGAGCATCAATTGACCTGTTTATAATTTCTTGCTTGAACTCGAACTTGAACTTGAATGAAAAATAGAAAAATCAGAACAGTGGAGGATGGAGGAGAACAGTAGAAGTAGATGCAGTACCAGTTGTTGAATATTGTACCCTCCAAATGGTCATAAAAATATGATTGGCAGAACAACTATGAACTTGAAAACTTGGTCTGGACAGTGATGCAATTATAAGGTCATCTGTGTATGTATCATTCATGTTACTTTTTAGTCAACGATTGGAGTTTTCTATATTTTTTCTGAAGATAATGATGCAATGATTGTGTATAGGAACGGAAACGCGTTGTGCAAAAGATATGGTTTCCGGAAAGTCTAAGTCGAGAGATGAAATAAATTATGAAAAATAAAGGGATTGTTTGGATATGTAAGCTCAGCCCTTGAGCATATATCTCTGTACGTACGTGAATATAGATAAATAAGATTACAAGAGATGAAATAAATGTCGTACAGAGTAAATTGCTTTTGGTCACACTGTCACACACATGATACACCATGTTAATTAGTTCCAGAATTGCTGATTGTTGGTGTCAAGCATTGCTGATTCTGCAGCTTCTTCTTGGCTGCTTTTCTTCGTCCTCTCCGATACTTGAGGATAACGACCACCAATATGAGAATTATAACGAACAGACCAACTAGAGCTGAAAATGCAGACAAACACATTTTGCTATCAGTTGCAGCGTCCAATGGATCCAACAGGAATTTTATAAACGAATTTTGCAAGAAAAATGAGATTAACGTTAATTTTCGTATTTACAGACATAATACCTCCTATACCAATTCCCACCAATATTAAGATAATTTGAAGTGATGTGGGTTCTTTGTACTCTGCACTTGCATAAAAAAAAACAAAATGAAACAAAAAAAAAGATTAAAAAGGAACATGCATATAATTCAGAGACTTAAATTTAAATGTAATTGATCATATGACTATAAGGTGAGGCAATAGCATACTCATGATACTGACCTCTTGAACATGCATAGGTGAGTGGCTGATCCCATGAACTTACCAAACAGCCCTTGCCAGCCAAAGAACAATCCCTGCACTCAACCGACCATCCAACATCAAAGCCAGCCTGCAAAAGTTCCATGACAGCTTCATAAGAAGGGAACTTAATGTCCTGATCAAAATCCACAGGCGCCACTGAAATAAGCGAGCACGATGGTTGTGGTTGACGATGATAATAATAATCGCGGTCATAAATAGCATACAAGTAACTCCCGTTTGTTGTCAAACATGGAACTCTTGTATAATTAGCAGCTGTTTGCAGGCTACTGATGTTTTTGGAGCACTTCATAAATCGAAAAAGACTGCGAGAGCTGTTTACAAATCCACCGAATCGAAAATCCTTGACGTCCCTGTCTGCTGATAAAACAGAGCCAGATGGAAGGCTGCAGCTTCCATTGGCAAAGTTGACATCAACCAAACGGAGTATTTGATCGTTATATGAAATGTTGTGCACGTAGAATTTGCCTGGAAAGATTTCTAAGATGGTTCTGTCGTCCACGCAGGAAAATTCATAGTCAGGGTCACCACAGCCTGATTGATCACCTTTAGGCGAAAAGGGTACTTGATGTTTTGGATTTCTCCGCACGAACTAGAGCAATTGGCTTGTTTATGATATCTTGCTTGAACTTGAACTCGAACGAAACATAGAAAAATCAGCAGCACGGAATAGAGAACAGAAGATGCAGTATTTGTTGCCCTCCACATGATTTGCATGTCTTATTAGCAGAACAACTAATTATAATGAATGGTGCTGATTTTATCCAAACTTTTAGTCAACGAGTGGGAGGAGTAGGTCAAAGACTCAAAGCTTCCATCCAGCTCCATGTTGGGGGTTTTCAGTGTTTTTCTATAGATAATAATGTAATGATTGCAGGAACAAGGAAATTCCAACACAAACGCGTTACGCGGAAGATATGGATCCCAGAAAGTCTAAGTCAATATCAAATAAATAAAGAAACCAACATTTAAATTTGGTTTAGGATATGTATTGACTATATATGTCGAAGATTATAGTGCAGCCGTACATACATACAAGGTTGTCGACTATATATAAATTGTGTTGGGATTCATTTAGGGCAGATGAATATATAATCCTAAGATATCCCTAAGATCAAATGATTTACTTGCAGTTCCGATGCGTGTTTCAGCATTCCAGTAACATTCTCAAAATTCCAACAAAAAAAAAAGGTTAACATTCTCAAACTACCATGAAAGGCTAAAATTGAATTCCTTTGTGCTCTGTAAGAGAGGGAAAATCGCATATTCCAGGAGGGCATTGGCAATACCACAAGACTGTTTTCTGCACTCCAATCACACGTTTTTCATTTGGAGAGGTATTCAGACGCAAGTGGCAAGTGTCAAGGGATAAATACAAAACTTATAATGCCAGCTGAGGATGATGTGTTAAGGCAAATGCATCTTTGAGTTTGAACCATGTGTTGAAACTGGCATTAGTGGTCCACTGTGAAAGGTCAGAATAAATTCCAATTTGCATCTTCAAGTGCACAAAATTCTCAAGTTTAATTGACGTAAGTTGTTTACAAACGTCACGTCCTAATTTACATCTTCAAATATTTTAGTTTGATTAATATGTGCAGTTTGTGAGTGATATATAACACATACTCATGTAGACATGGGTTTAACCAAGTTGATCAGAACAGAGACATGGATTTAGCCAAGTTGATCAAAGCGGATATGCTCCCACTGCAACCAAGTTTGATTCCCTCTCCTCGTAGTTTATATTAAATTAAAGTAAACACACAGAAACGCTTTCCCATAATTTTCTTATGGGCAAAGTTTTGGGCTTCACATTATATATGGGCGTGTTTGGGGATGTTTTGGGCTTTTACATTATTTGATCATCAAACACAGAGAAACGTTTTCTTCACTTTGTTTATGTCCCACGTTTCTTTTCACCAATGTTCTTAGTTAATGCTTGTTTTTATTTTCTTTTTAAACCTTTTCCTTCGTCTTCCCCCTGCTCCGCTGAGTTCTTTTTACTGTATGAGACCAAAAGAAAAGGAAGTATATTTCATTTTATATAGATTAAACATGAGAAAGTAATTAAATCCTTTTAAACACACATTTGGTTCCATAACATAAATATTCGAAATAATCTGGTACACAACTAAAAATTGGAGATCCCTCTTTCCTTATTTAAGATTAGAAACACCAAGAATTTACAGCGGTAAATAAAAAAAAACCCCGAGAGTTTTTTTCAAAAAAAGAAAAAAGAAGAAGAAGAAGAGGAAGATAGTTATGGAAGGAAAATACAAAAAAAGAGGAGAAAACAAAAAAAAAAAAAAAAAAAAAAAAAAAAAAAAAAAAAAAAGAAAAAATCTATAGGAAAACTGCCAAACTGCACACCACGCCCGCTAGAATATCAAAAATGAAAAGGCGAAGAAGAACGAGAGAGGAACCACCAGCAATCGATGGATTCGCCGTTATCATCATCATCATGGGTGGGTGGATATAGCAGATAGCGGATGGGACCCATTTGATCATATTGTAACATGCATCATCATCTTCGTCCAATCGATTCAGCGGAGAGAAAACCAGTGGAGGAGGTCGGCGGCGAGGCGGCGGCGCGTGTGGGCGACGAGGTCACGGTGGACGAGGGGAGAGCGGCAAATAGGGCAATTGAAGTTGAGGTGGTCGAGCCATCCGTCGAAGCAGCTCTTGTGGAACACGTGGCGGCAGTTGAGCATACGGACCTGGTCCCCATCCCTTAAGGTGGACAAGCACACCACGCAATCGCAATCCCGTGACCTCGCGACGGCGTCGTTCTGTTGGTCATGGCGGTTGCGGTCGTATCGGTAGGACAAGTGGCGGTTGAGGGCGAGCTGGTCGGCAAGGACCGCGAGGCCCGCGAGGCCCGAGCCCACGGTGGAGCCCGCGAGAAGGCCATCGTCGTAGTCTGGGCCTGGGCCTGGGTTGCTGAGGCCCAGGAAATGGAGGAGACGGAAGAGGGAGGAGCACAGGTGGTTGATGAAGCTGGCGATGAGTGCGATGAGTAAGAGTGGGATGGAGTCCGACGACACGTCGTTCAGCTGGTTCTGTAACCCCATGATCTCTTCTCTCTCTACGATAAAAAACAGCACTTTTTATACATACATATAATTTATAAGTTTAATTATATGATCTCAACTCTAAAGATCAAAAAATTATGTATTTTGTTTTGTTGGGTCTGTTTAAAAAAAATGGTGGATGAAATAGAGATGTTAGGTAGAACTGAGAGAGGAAGTGGGTTCTGAATTAGCTAGAGATATATATATATATATATGCACAGAGGGAGAGAGAGAGAGAGAGAGAGAGAGAGAGAGAGAATGAGACAGAGGGATATAACATAACATATAAGAGAGAGAATATATTCGATATTAGGGAGGAAGAGAGGGGAAAAAGAAGACCAGATGACGAGAGTGTGTGATTTGGTAAATAAATAAAGGGGGAGGGAACGCTAGGAGCGCTCGTCGGCGGGCAATATTATACGTGGGCTAGAGAGAGAGAGAGAGAGAGAGAGAGAGAGAGAGGACAGGGACGCAGACGCAGACGCACAGACAGGGGTTGGGTGTCTGCCAAAGGCTGATGTTACGGCTTCACTTGCCTCTCCACCTCTCAATTCTCAACCTTCTTTTCTTTCTCTTTTTTTTTCTTTTGCTTGGGCTCTGGGTTTGGGGAATTGGATAGTGTTGGGTAGGGCGGGGGAACTACTCAGAGCATTTTCAAGCGAGTATGTAAAAAAAGTATATAAAATTATGGAACTGATTTCCCCACTCCATTTTTCTTCACTTACACTCTCTTTTACTTTTTAATACTTTGTAATCAATTTTGTTCTTTCTCTTTCCTATTTTATCCTTACCCTACATTTTTCTTTTTTACTTCACTTTTATATTATTTCTTTTTCTTTATACTTAATTTTTCAACTTACACTCCATTTTCAGTATTAAAGGGAAAAAAAAAACGTAATTTCTTACTCGATTAAAGGAATTTTTTTTACTGAAACTAGAGTGCAAGTTGGAAAATTAAGTATAAAGAAAAATAACTAATATAAAAGTGAAGTAAAAAAAAATTAATGTAGGGTAAGGGTTTAATTGGAAAGAGAAAAAATAAAATTGATTAAAAAGTATTAAAAGGCAAAATGGAGTGTAAGTAGAGAAAAGGGGAGTAGGGAAATCATATCCCTAAAACTATCAGGGCCAATTTGGCATTGCTGTGCTGTGAAAATAATCGCTGTCAGATTTGTTGTGAGAGAAATCAGCTGTGATAGAAAGCAATTTGGCGTTTGGTAAAATTTTTGTTAAAAGTGTTGTTGGTATTGATTTTACGCATAATCAGAAATTGATTGCCGCATAATCATTAAACCCAGCGCTTCTTCGAAACTGATTCCTGCATAATCAAAAACAGTAATGAAATTGTTCAACCCATTATTATAATTCTTTCAAAAAGGAAAAAAAAATTTATTACTTTTATCGTGTACATCTATTTTTATCTTCTATAAAAAGTAAGTGAGATATATGAGATGATATTTTATGATAAAAATATAAATAGAGTCCAATATACCTATTCATTTTAAAGTAGAAAAAATTATCATATTAAAGAGCGTGTATATTTTGCCTATTGGGATGCCTACTTCCTTGGAAATGCTATCGACGGAGAAAACACTTAAAAGCATGCTCGTGTTTCTCATAACGTGGTCAACACACTCAGAATAGGTTACTCATCACGTGAGATGTTATGGGAACACAAAGTTATGCTCTGGACTGGAACCAACGGCTGAATTTTTCTTCTTTCGCATCAAAAATGAGACCCGCATATCTTGTATATATGTGGTTCTCGCTATCCTGTGAAAAATCACTCAGGAAAATGGAAGAGGGCCAAAGCCAATTGTGAAATGTGAAATGGCTAAGAGAGTAGGAAATTTCGGGTGCATCGATGATGCCGTCGTCACTAGACTCTACCATGTGAGGATGGGTCCCCCCTCATATTTGTTTTTCTTCTTTATTCCTCGCATGAGCACTTTTCAGTTTTTCAGACCAAAAAAAGAAGAAGCACTTTTCAGTGCTCTTTTTCTCTCATTTTCTTCTTGGAATTTTTTCATTTTTAAAATACTTTTGAAAATAAAAATATTAAAATAACCTCTAACATTGATGGAAAATTAGATGATGTTAAAGTTAGATGACAAATCATGAATTTTGAAAAATTAAGGTGATATTTCTCTTAAATTTTTCTTTAAGATGACAAATTGAAACTGAGATATAAGTTTAGATGACATTTTTACAAAAATCTCTATATTATATTATATTGTGTTAAAGGGCATCTGAGATGCGTTTTATGTGTTTAATTTAGGAAGTTGATTTTTCCACTCTCATTTTCTCCACTTACGCTTCATTTTGCTTTTTAATACTTTTTAATCAATTTGGTTCTTTCTCTTTCCTATTCTATCATTACCCTACATTATTATTATTATTATTTTTACTTCACTTTTATATTATTTATTTTACTAAACATTATCTTTTATATGGATGAGATTGCTGAAAATTCAAAATTTGTAATGTCAAGGTAATGGTATTTATAATAACCGAAAATTGATATTTTGTCTATGATCAGTGAAGAATATATGATGACTGGTAATTAAGATAAAAAAAAAAGTGTAAAAAATTAGTATAAAGAGGAAAAAATTAATGTAGGGTAAGGGTAGAATAGAAAATAGATAGAACAAAAAAATAATTGATTAAAAAGTATTAAAAAGCAAAATGAATATAAGTGGAGAAAATGAAAGTAGGAAAATCAGCTCCCTTAATTTATCGTCCTTTCCTTTGCCTTGTAGGCTAGCTTCATTATGTTGCGTTGCTTGCTATTTAAACAAACAATTATCATCGGCATAAATATAAACTGCATATACATTTTAAAAGTTAGCTTGATGAACTAATTATGATTTTCATCATTTCATCAAAAAGATCCCATTTTAATTAGCAAATTAAATATAGTAATGAGGGAACTCTTTACTGTCTTAATAAGTAATACTACGTACTGAGCCCCCCATATTCATATGCATTGTCGTCTATACACAACACACACGAGACACACGGCACACATGTGGAGCTAGTCACTGGTGGATCTAGTAAGGCGCAAGGAGGTGCAGTTGCACCTCCCTTAGCCGAAAAAAACCATTGTAACTACTTCAAATTGCCCATTTGCTCAACTGTTGTACAGATTACCTTATTTTCATCTTCAACATTTAAGTAAATGTCTTTATCCTTTTACTTTTATTTATTTTTATATTACTCTATTTACTTAAGTTTACAATGTAAATAAGGAAGTACCCCCCATTTGTATTCAAATAAAAATACTAGAAAATCAAATTCCCAATCGAAATATGAAAATTCGGTTTTAGTGCAAAATATGATTTAGGTTAAAAATGATGGCTCATTAAGTCAATATATACTTCATACTAAAATCCCATAAAATCAAGTTTTCTTATTTGATGTGTAAGGAATAAAAGCCGCCAAAAATTATCTTGAGAAAATGATTATTCTGAAAAACCATGTTTCATACTTAGTCAATATTGCACCTCCGCTAAAAAAATTTTGGGTCCGTCAGTGGAGCTAGCTACGTACCAATATATCCAAAACCCCCAACAACAAAAAAAACAAGTAAAAGTATATGGATACGTAATCTTTTGGAGCAAATTTTAGTTGAGGATTCAGTCATGTGCTCAAACAATTCCTCTAGTCTCTAGATATGCATATGCATGCATGCATCAACATCCATCGCCCTATTGTGTGCACACGACAATGCATACGGGTTATTAAGCAAAGAGAGAAAAGGGCTACAAACCCTTCGCATAATTTCCTCACGGTTTAGATCGATATACAGATGCATTATGCATGCGTCTTCTTTCAACATAAAAACCAATCATACTCCTAATATTTCTTGCACGCATTCTCTACCAGCTTTCTGCTTACCATTAACATCATCAATTATCCATCTCTGTCGTGTTTGGTAGTCGTTGCTACCACAATTATATATAGTTAGTTGTAAATTAAACACAAATCATTCCAACAAGACCTAGTCGTCAATGTCATCCCAAGCAAGCAAACATGCATGTTCATCCATGTGATTTCTCATTGTCATAAATATATACTTAATATTTGGTTTTCTTTCCTTTTTTATTTTCCTCAGTATTTTATTTCAAAAGGTTAACCTGACAATTACGTTTGTTTTGTTATTATAAATACTTGGGCAAAGGGTCCAAAACTAATACATCTAAGCTTGTACGAAATTGCAAATGGCTTCCATATTCCAAAGTTTAAAGTCCAATCCAATCCCAATCCTATTGATATTGAATACCAGTTTTTCTTTGAACTTTCCAAAGCTTCGAAGGAGTACTTAAGTTAACTACTGGCAGCTAGCCTGTCTTAATCTGAATATGGCCCGTCCCATCTCCACTAGCTAAGCTAGGTTTGCATTATTTAATTGGATTAAGAAACCCTATTCCCGGTGGCGGTTTATTAGATGATTAAATATCTTCTTCTTTTTTTTTCTTTTCTTTTTTTAGAAGAAAAAAAAGTGCTCCTTTTTTATTTGGGATTCAAAACCATTGGCTTGGTTGGTTTCGTTAATTTAATATTAGTTAATTAAGTCTAAAAGGAGTTGCTTTTGTTGATAAAGCATGCTGCATTATGGGTGGTAATCAGTATGATAATATGATTAAACAGGTATATGTCACATTCCATATGCTATATATATGGGGGTATTTCTACTAGCGTGGTGATCACATTATCTAATTCGGCCCACTAATTCTGATAAAAAGATGATAAAACAAAGTCAAATATTTTTCTTTCGTTGTTGGAATAAGTCACATTATACTTAGCGACCAAAACTCTGAATTAATTAATTAAAATGATAGGACTTATTCATTAATACACCCCTAAAAAAGCATCCACATTCCAACATGAGTACATATATATATATATATAATCATCGTCAACCACAAGAAAAAAGTTTTTGGGTATGTAGCTAGAAAATGAGAATAGAAGAGAGAGAAATTAAAGAGGTATCGTGTGTT